GATAAAAGAAAAGTGGTATAGTATTTGGCGTTATGGATGAGTATGCGGGGGGGTTTTTTTTAATTTTTTAATTTTTCTTTACTTTTTTACTTTTTTTATTTTTTTAGTCTGTTCCCCTTTGGAGGGGATAGAGGTCGAGATGGGATGGGGATGGGGATGGGGATGGGGATGAGATGAGATGAGATGAGATATGAAGGGTAGCACAGTAACGCAGCGGGAGGGTATGATAGGTAAGGTAAGGGAGTGGGGTGGGAGAGGAGGGGGATGCCAAGTGAAGAAACAGGTCTGTACGAGTATGTTTGTGTGTGGGTGGGTGGGAATACCGGTAGGTTGCCGCTATGGCACAGTGGTCACTTTTTTTTTTTTTTTTTTGTCTTTCAGTATCGTATCCATGCACAGTACATCTCTTTCGAGAGCCCATTTCTTTGGGCTTTAATTTTCCTCACCTTTTTATCATCGTACATTGTGATCGTGATATGCAGTAGCACTCGAACCAGTTCCTCCTCCCTGACGGACTTGTCCGCTTCTAGATATTAGATGCGGTAGCCCACCCCCACTTCCACCTTCTCCACCCCTTCTTCCACCTACTCCACCCCCATCATCTCCACCTGCCCCCGGGACACCACCTCTTGTTACCGTTGCTGCTGCTGCTGCTGCGCCAGCACCAGCACTACCGCCGGCGCCCGTGATATTTATGCTTTCCATCCCCTCAATTCCTGGCTCGAAATCCGGAGGGCACGAGTTGAACGGCAGGAACCACGCGCTGCTCGGCTGTTCCGTAAAGGCATCCACATCCGCTCCACTCACTTGGCCCTGGAGCTCGGGCCATATCCCGCTGTTAAGCGTGGTTGCAGCCATCACGAATGCGGGGTCTGATCCCGAAGAGTACAGGTCGTAGAGGAAATATTGGGAAGGTGCGCTTTGGGAATGCTGCTGCTGCTGCTGTTGGGGGTGGTGCATCCTCATTCCTTCCGTACCTACACCCGCGGGGCCCCTAGGCAGGGCAATGGGGTAATTGGGATACGGTACCTGATGCGAAGATATGTCCGGCACCATGGACGGAATTGCTGGATTGTGTTGGGAGCTCTGGGTTTGCTGCTGATAGTTTGCGCGATATAGGCTTGCTTGCCGGGACATGCCTTGCGGATTGGATATCTGCGGTGGGCTTAGTAGTTGGGGATCTAAATTTCCCTCCATCTTACCGTGACTTTGAGCCATTGTCGGAGTGGGAATGGTTGCAGGAGACGCACCCATTGGCGAGTGATGTGTTGTGGGTGATTGGCTGTGATGCAAGGAGCCAGGTGAACTTCCCGGATGTATAGTCGAGGGCGTCTGTGAATGAATTGGGGGAGATGTGCGAATGTAAGACTGTATCGGAGCCTTGGGAGCGTGGGGGGCTGGAGCAGGAGGGGCAGCGGGGGACCGATTATGTCTCGATGGCCCTAATCTTGCAAAGAATTCGTCTGCGGTTTGAAGATTTGACTTTTGGCTCAGCACGGCGTCCTGGGTAGAGGCCCCATCTGAAGTATGGGGCTTTGATGTCATTTCTTTGTAGTCGCTGGCGTTCACCCCTCGTGGGTACTTTTGAAACCAGTCTCCATACTGCAATGTTCGGGTGGTTTCTTCAGGGAACGATGAGCCCCGTGCAAGGGAGTCAGCAAGACTACGATATAATCTCTTGAGATTATCTGTTATAGCATGGAAGAGACCCCAATATTGTCTTAGCTGCATCAGGAACCTCAGACATATTTGCATATTGTTTCTTGATTCCTCTTGTATCTCCCTGTTATTGGAGAATGAGAACATTCGCACCATGTGCACCATGCTAGCATTGAATGCGCAATACCCTGTAAAAGGGGCCACCACGAGAACCCCGCGCTCCTCAGCATCCAAAATTATTCGTGATATCTCCGTCGCCGAGGACAAGGCGATTTCCCCTGCGTTCTTTCCAAACTCCAGAGGAGAGCTCTGACCCTGGGGGGTAGGCGTTGGGACCCCTGATTTGTTGAGAAAGAGTCGTACTTGATGAAGGGCAATATGCACGAAAACAAACTGGCCAACGAGATGCTCTGTGATGTGAACCTGCATGTTTTCGGGAGTATATCGGAGACGACTAGGTAGGCTGTTTTCGAATTGGCTTATCTCCTTGTTAAGAGATGCAAACTGAGAATTTGGCTCCCAAATCTCGCGAGGGTCGCGCTCTTTCCCCCCCTAAGAGAAGTCAATAAAAAGGTTCGGTATTTGCAATCCACTCTGTATCTCCACAATCCAAGGGGGCTTGGGACTCCACAAGGAGCACGAGAGATGAAGTGGAAAGGAATGAAAGAAGGGTGCGGAATGGATACCAAGTCTTTTGGCGCACTAACCTGATTAAGGTATTTAACAACTCTCCCATAAAGAGCCACAACTCTGACCATATAGGCCGTAACCCCCATAGCACCAGTGACATCGCCAACCTCTTCCCTAGAACCCTTCACTGTTCCATCAAGTTGCTCTGTCACCGCCGGTATATCCAATTCCAAATTCCTATCATGTACCGGCAATTGAACCTCGATTTCTGATTCGGCGATCAAATGTGGCCTCTCTGTCCCCGATGAAGTAAACCTATCCAGGATAAAGCAAGACCACATACTCCTCCGGCGGATTTCCCTATCAACAAAGGACATATACCCCCCTTCATCTTGGTGGAAATAATCGCCAGCTGGCCTTGAGTGTGGCTTTCCGAGCGGGTCGTTATTTGCTTCTTTATGCAATTGAATTGCATGCGCCATGCGGGTGGCCATTCCACCCATCGCCCAGCTTCGACCCCCTTGGCATGTGCCGAATTCATGAAGACCCAGCAATACACAGACAGTAACATTGGTGACATTTGGGGTATCGAATTTCTTTAATATCTGTCGTCGAGCCTCGCTCGCAAACGCCTCCCCAGCAAGAAATGGTGGATCGTGGCGTACCGCCGGGTGCTTAGAGAACCGAGCTGATACAGCACACACAGCAAGAACCAATACCGCCGGCGCGGTTCCGCTCCTGTAGAAACCCATTAGGTAACCCGGCTGCCAATAATGTGCGCCTACTCCCCATGACATGAGAGAGGCATTCCAGAGAGGGGTAAATACCGTAATCGCCTCATGAATGAGGGTTTGTGCAATACGAAATATGGCTGCCCGTAGACGTAATCGAAGAAAACCTCTGCTAAGTGTTCCTGGATGTCCTTCGGAGGTAGGGCGTGGCTCCCATCGTCGGCATCCGTTCGCCCCACTGCCCCCAAAGGGCTATCACCCCAGGTCTCCGGTATACCCGTCCCCTTCCGTGCTGTTGAACTATCTCCCCTAGCCCATATATCCAACTCATCCCCAAATGCCGTTGCGGCCGTTCTTTTCTTTGCTGGGGCACCGGCTCTTGCGCTAGTTGTTGAAATACTTGGCCTTACAACGGACCTCCCAGTAGTACTAAGAACAGCGCTGACTTCCTCCTTTGGCACATTCTTGATCAGCCGTTCTTCCATACGCTTCAATCGTCGGTCGAGCATAGCCATGTAGTCTGTCCTAGGAGCTGCTTTGCGGGTGGATTGTTTGTAAACACAAGGAGTCCTCGACCGAACACAGTGCCGACAGGCAGGGTTTTCCCCGGAGCATCGTATCTTCTTGCGGCGACAGGCGATGCACGCCAGTGGAAGCCGCTTTCTATCCTTCCCTGCCTATGCTTAACTGTTAGATTAGAGCTCAGGTGCGCTTGGGGTGACTAAAAGCCGCCCCTCCCGGGAGTAGGCCGATTGAGCCACCCAGAGGCCAGTGATTGTAGTAGCTTGTTCAGGGATCGAGTGGCATGACCTGCCTAAACTTATGAAAAGCAGTGTCAAGAGTACTCCGACTAACGACTCGGGAATACCCTCGACTCTGATCTTTGGCTTTGGACCCTATGAGATGGAAGCCAAACGGATAGGAAGCGAACCTTAGTCTTTGTCTCACTCCACGTTGGAGTTTGCCCTTGCCCCTGCCCCGCTTCTGTCATCATCAAGACACCCTGAGTCCCCTCTCTGTCCTCCTGGCTTGGATGGTCTTCATCGCCAGTTCTCATACCCACCCCTTCACCAATTTCGTCACTATCTATATCATACCCCGCACTTGAAATATTGACCGGCGATATTTCTGCTGCGACGTTCGCCATATCCGTGAATCCCACACCACTTCTAGCTCCCATCTCAGTTCCTCTCGCACCTCCACGAACCGCTCCGGTTTCGCTCTCCATTCTGCTTCCTGTAGAAGATGGAATACCGCCTCCCGTACGTCTCTCACCCTCAGAAACAATCCTATTGTATATGTAGCCCTCGTCCTGGGTGTGATGCCCCCCCTCCCTGTCGAGCTGACTCTGCTCCTGTTGGCTCATGTAGGTATAATCCACTCTTGGCGCATCCGCTGTGTCATCTGCTGGGGAAGTCGTCCCATATTCGTCGACATACGTCCTACGAGCTAGCCCACTGCTAGTATATTCCATCCCATTACCTATGTTCGATATGCTGTCTCGGGTTGCGCCAGTCGCTGCACCACGCGTCGAAGATAAATTACTTGATTCTGAGGCTGGGCTAGAGAGTCGAGTCTTAAAGGTCGAAAATATTGCTGTTTTTCCAAGTTGTCGCTGACTTCTGACTCCGAGCAGAGTGTTAGGAACGTAGCGGTGTCCAAGTGTGGGGTGCGTCGGCTGTAGACAAGAAGATAGGTTCTGTGGGTTGCGGAGAATCATCTGAGTGCGCGGAGAATGATATTGCTAGTTTCTAGCCTGCGATATTCCGGCTTCCGGCAATTTCTCCGGGCACTCTTCTTTTCAAAATATATACCCAGATAGTAGAATCCCCCGCGGCTGCTACTCCACGTCGTCGGAAGGGGGGGGGGGGGGGGGTAAGTGCTCTCCCGAGCCCTCGTGATATCGGAATTTACCAGCCACCAAACCTTGTCTTAACCCCTAGAGCAGCCCAACTGCCTCCCGGGACAAGTGAGGGACAGTAATGCAACACAATTTGATTCTTCCTTTCTCGTTATAGTTTTTGCGCTGCTTCCAGTATGTTGTAGCACGAACAATACAGTACGGTATCAAGTAGGGCGGTCACAAAAAGACCAATGGGATGAAACCGCCACCCTATGATTTAAAGGGAATACTCGCCTTAGTCCCAACTTTCCTGTCCTGCAGCTACAGCTGCGGATGTGCTCGAATTGATAAGCTTGAGACACCAATGAGAATGCGTTAACTCCCAACCCTCGATCAAGAACTCCAGTGGGCGCTTCTGGCCCACCAAAAGCTCACAAGCCAGAGTAAGACGCTTGTGCGTTATGATGTGTCCCGTTTGCTAAGCGGTGTGCAAGCTGTGGATGTTCTAGAAAGCGTTGCCGTGGGCAGTCAGGATTTAGTCCGTGGTTGATTCTGTCCTTGCTGCGATCAGTCACCCAGGCCCCAATATTAGATTGCCACCTTCGGGATACTACAAAATACCGAATACCGAATTAAATTATAACGCACAAAATGAGTGTTCGTCGGTGATTCCAAAGAACTGGTACTGGATTAAGGCGGTCCGAATCCTACCGCGAAACGGATGAGAGAGTTGATAGGATGGGCCCAAGAGGTCCTGCGGCAACTTAATTTCGGGGAGGGGGGGTGTTCCTTTTCTTTCTATTTATATCCCGTGTCCTTTCCCCTTCCGATGATGAGTGAAAGGGATTGCGGTTCTAAAGTGGAAAGTAGCTAGCTGCGCAAAAGGTAACTGGCGTGCTAAAAGCGATGAAATATGATAGAGTGGTTGCCGCGGGCACCGACAGTGGGGAAATATGGTATTTCGCCACAAATGAGGAGAGGACTTTCCAGGCTCCGCAGATCTTTCAGGTTTAAGAAATTGGTGAGTCTTTCTATTTCTGAAGGGGTGGTGGAGAAAATGTAAAGTTGCAGGCATGCTCAGTTTGACCAAGACGTATGCGGGTTCTCTGTTCCTGCTTTCTGTATGCGCGTCGGTGGTGCAACTGCGGCCAGGCGGGCTTGTAATGCTTTGCTTGCCCGTATGAATCCCGTACGAGTATTGGTACAGTGTGAGTAGTGAAAAACGGGGAAAACTGTGCGACCTTTCGTGCTCGGCTATATCCTCCACTTTATCAGGTTATTGTTGTTACTATTTCCTTCTCGATCAATCAATCAATCCTTTTTCGAAGGCCAAACAAGAAATATCAGTTGGGGAATATGGGGGGTAACAATTGATATGGTCGTTTGTGATATATACCGATCGAGTGCTGGCAAAAGCGATTCGGAAGCTCTCATCCAAAACTGCCGGACCTCCCAGACTTTCTCACCGAGCGGAAGACGTGTTTCTCCCCCGAACCCACAAGAGAGACTGAGGGAGGGAGGGAGGGAGAAAGCTAGGTTACAGTAATGCTGTTGTCTCGTCTGCTGGCCTGGCCGAGCATAAGAGTCGAGCTTTCCGCTATAAGTTCACCCCCTGAATCAGATCTGCTGCAATTATCGCCTCGATGAATGCCCATTCCAGGGAATGATGACTGGGAATTTTCCTTTCGAAAATACTCGTACTCGAGCACAACAAATGCCGAGGTGTTGAACCCGGTTGGTGCCTCTTTTTTTCTTTTTTTAATCTTTTTTTTTATCTTTCTTTCATTCTCAGTTTTCCTTACCCTTCCCTTTTTTTCCACCTCGCTCCGCTGGGACAAGAGACGTCAAGGCAAGGTGCTGGCACTGCTACCCGTGGAGTAGCAATCAAACAGTGTGCCTCGTTTGAGAAAGCTCACCAGGGGGGGTAAAATTGGTACGGTAAGTCTATCAGCAAGTGCTCATACAACGACGTGGACCGCGTGATACTCGTGCAACAGTCAGAAGTGACGGGAAGTGTTTGTTGGCAATTGAAGACCACACAAGCATAGTGCGAGCGGAAGATAATCCAGATTCCCCGGGGAAGTTTCAGCGCCACAAAACAAGTGCGAGGAAGAGAAATGAAAAGGTATAAAGGATTACGGTGCCTCGCTGAGCCCGAATTGAGCTGTGAAGGGAGAAGACTTTTTTTTTTTTCTTTTCCCTTTTCCCTTGGCTATTTTCTCTCATGGTGACAATGGGATTGTGAGCCGGGAGCTGCCACTACCATTCGAGCTTCGCCGGGGCAGTCTCAAAGATTAGGGACCCTTCAAACAGCCATTCCGACGCTAATGTGAAAGAAAAAAAGCTCAGCAAACGCGTGATTGTCGTTCTTCCAAAGGTCCTCAGTTCGCCAGCCCTTTATTTTTCTCCGTTTTCCTTGACGCCACCGTAGGTGTTCAGACCGGCTCCCTAACTGGGAGAGGGAAAGTTCATAGCTAAAGGAAGGAAAAGTGAGGTTTGGGAAATGGGGTTCCAGAAAAAAGAAATGTTTGGGGAATTCCAGCACTCCAGAACCCTTTCAAAACCCAGAAAGCATATTATAGCACCCCCAGTGTGCAGAAAATCCGGCCAACCACACCAAACTCGGAGAAGACGTCAACGGCTTTCTCTCGAGTCGTTTCCCGGGATGAAAGAAGCAAGAGCACCGTATATCATACCGAAAGCAAGGCACAATTATAAACCGACTTTGCTCCGACAAGCATCCGGACCCTTCCGGTATGATACATTAGGGTATCCACCAGTACTGTACAGCGCTGGTAGAAACTGCATTGCGTGGCTATCGTGCACAGTGAAGAACAGTACAGTATGGGGGAGGCACCGAGAGGTTCTGTCCCAGAAGGTGGTCGGCCACCACGTCCAAGAGATTGGTGGGATAAAGTCCCAGTTTGAAACTCTAGTAATTAACTACCAATTGAGGATGGATACCTTCCAGATCTCCTTATTCTCCGGGCCAGCATCTTTTGCGAGCAGCACACGACGAACGGACCAAAGGATAACCGGAGAAGAGAGAGAAAAAGAAAAGCAAAAAATCACTATTATCGGACTAAGGGACGTGTTCGTTCACCTGTGCTGGTGGCATCCCCAGACCATCCCATCTCTCATCCTATTCCGAAACAAAAAGCCTCACTTCGCCCCATCTCCGCTTTCCCACCACTTCCCCTCCTCCACCCGCCCTTTCCTACTCGCACAGCACCCCTTCCCCACTGCCCTCCTTCTGATTTATAGGTCGGGCACCAGCCTCTGGAACTTTTAACTCGTCATCATTCCATTGTCGACATTGTGGGACGCAGGCACGGTACTGCAGTCGAGTTGCACAACTCAGAACCATTATTTGTACGGCACTTGAACGAACGGGGCTGCATGCCCGGGGTGTCTCTTCTGTGGTCGCACCGGTCATCAGGGCAGCCAATCATCAACAAACAGACTCGCCCCCACACTGCTCCGAGGGGTTGCGCTGATCGCCTCGCTAAGCTCAATAGCGAACGCCAACCCCATCCTGATACAGGAGTTTACGCCGCACCATTCCTAATCCACAGAAACCTTCTCTCCTTCGGTTTGCCCTGATACATTCTGCACCCGTCCGGTACTCGAGTCCAGGTACAAGTGCAAGTACCTGTACCGCACCATATACAGTACTAAAGACTTGGACGGCTGATCCCTGTGAGCTGAGGAGATTGTAAATTTTTGCTTCCTGGCGGTGGTCTAGCCACATCGCTGACATCAACCCGGGTTCAAGACTACCGGTTCTCGTAGATGGTAAAAGTACTGTGCTGGTACGAGTACGAGTACATCAGTGCACAATACCTGTACCGCAGCACCCCAGTTCGGTTCCGGCCACTACAAATACAGTCGATCAGTTCCTAATCTGCGAATGATATGCGTCCCAGCTTCCTAATCGGGAATAACGATGTACTGGTACAAGTATTTCCAAAATTCCTTCATTGAATCTCCAGGGAGTGATAAATTGAATATAATTACAGAAGATCTTACACATGGATGTTTGCTCCCGCCCAGTTACTTGTACAGCACGCGAGTGCACAGGTTTGAAGTTAGTGATACCGGTATTCTGGGTTGGTTCAGGTGTTTACTCGTGATATCGGGAAACGTATGATGCCAGCACAGCGCAGTGCCTTCCGGTACCCCAAGCACCCATGAAGGCGAAAAATAGATACCGGTATAATACGTGTACGATACGGTTAAGAGCTCCCTACCCTCTACCAAGGATGGGAGGGCAGAGTTGCCCCTAGGCCTCCGAACCTGTCAACAACCCCACTCACCAGTTAGCGATCTTTGGCGCAGTCACTCATTAACCCGCAGCCTCCAGAATGGGACCAGACAGACCCTTGGGGCAATAATTTATCACGACAACTTGAGCCCCGGGCACCAAAGGTACCGTTATTAACTCTCTACCAACTTCCTGGAGTGCGTGGTACCAGGCACGTTTCAAATTACAGCGCAAACCACCTTTCTCGGGGACAGCACCGCACACACGTGTCGAAGGTTGTTAAGGAATTGGCAAGGATGTGAGTTAGCTATCGAGTGACGCCTTGTGATTAGAATTTCTGACACCTCGTGATTGCTCCACGAGGGTGCATGGGCTTCGCGCCATGAATTGCAGGGGGGGGGGTTCTGGCGCCGGGATTCGCTAAACTCAGCAGCTGTCAGTCAGGCCACCGAGTCTGACACCCAGCACTGCGGAAATGGTATCAAAGAAGGCTACCGACCTTGGGATAAGCTTTGTGGTACAGTACTGTGCACTCGCTTGCAAAGGCTGGCCTTGTCGCTCGGTCGCTAGGTACAAGTAGAGAGGTATCGAACCGTTAGCCCACAACCCGGTG